TGCCGCCGTAAGCCTCGCCGTGTTAGCACTCGTCTTTTTAGGAACATCGATCATCTCACTTTGTTACATGACTTGTATCTTGTTGATTGGTCCGGTGTTTTTAGCTGTCCATCTGTCGCCGAGAAATGGTCTTATCTCAGTCGCCGTTTGATTCATGTCTTTGACCAGCATGCTCCGCTCCGATTGACCTGTATCCGGAACCCGTGTGCGCCGGCTGTCACCTCGGCGACCCTGTGTCTGATGGCGGAGAGGAGGGGTGTGTTGCGCCGTGAGGGGAGATCGCCGGCCTTCCGTGCACTTGACAGGAGGGTGAGGGCGGCGATCCGGCGCGACTGCCGGGTGGACATCAAGGCGAGACTGCGCGATAACGGTAGCAGCTCTCTGTACCGCATCGTCCGCCCGCTGGTCGCCGGTAAGCGGAGTGACACAGCAACCCTCCCCACCGCCACGCCTGATGAAATGAACGCCTTTTTTGTTGATGTCGGCCCACGTGTCGCGGCTAGCCTGGCTAGCTCCGGGGTGCCGCCCGACGTTCCGTGCCGCCTGCCGCGTGTTGGTGCGTGTAGCTTTCGGGTCGCCGAGGTGACACTGGCGGAGCTGCGGGAGGTGGTGTTCTCCATGAAGCGTTCCGGTGCGTGTGGACCTGACGGCGTCTGTATTCGCATCCTGCTCCTTTCTTTCGAAGCCATTGGTCCCATCCTGCTCCATGTTGTCAATACCTGTCTTTCCACGTGTGACTATCCCGATGCTTGGAAGCACTCCCTAGTCCATCCTATCTTTAAGTCCGGTGATCCTGATCTGGTCTCCAACTACCGTCCTATTTCGATCGTCCCCACCATAGCCAAAGTTGTCGAGCGCTTAGTGCACCGACAACTTTCCGCCTACATGTCTAACAACCACCTTCTCTCTTCATCCCAGCACGGTTTTCGTCCTCTTCACTCTACCGAAACCGCTCTGCTCTCTGTAACTAATCGCGCTTTTTCCAACATGGACCGTGGCCTTATCTCCCTCCTCTGCCTTCTGGATCTTAGTAAATGTTTTGATGTCATTCCTCACTCACTGCTAACTTCCAAGCTCCAGCTCTATGGCATCCACCCGACCTGGTTTTCCTCCTACCTCACCGGTCACACTCAGTCTGTCTGTATCTCTTCTCTTTCCGGTGACAGAGTGGTTTCGAAGCCCCTTCCTAACACCATGGGAGTCTTCCAAGGATCAGCCCTCGGTCCTCTGTTATTCACCATTTTTGCCAACGACCTCAGTCTGCACGCGCCGGACGCTCATGTGACCCAGTACGCTGACGATACCCAAATCCTTATTTCCGATACCAAGCGCAATCTTCCTTACCTCATCCAACGCATGGAGTCTACCCTCACCTCCTTGGCATCGTGGTTCCATGCCCACGGACTTAAACTCAACACGTCCAAAACGGAAATCCTCCTCCTTGGCACCCGACAGAATACCAGAGATCTCCCCCCTGTCAGCGTGCGGGTCGGTGGCGGGACCGTTCGGGAGAGCCAATATGTTAAAAACCTTGGTGTCATTTTCGACCGCCACCTTACGTGGGATGCTCATGTCAGTGACGTGGTACGTAAGTGTGTCGGCCTCCTGATCGGTCTCCGCCACCTGAGGCGCCTCCTCCCGCGGCGGGCGCTTCTTGCGGTCGTGCAGGGCCTGGTCGTCTCGCGCGTGAGATATTGTCTATCTGTGTACGGGAACGGCTCCGCGGCTAACAACGAGAGGCTACTGAAAGTTGTGAACTTTGCCACCAGAGTAGCAGCCGGTCTCCGAAAGTACGATCGTGTGTCTCGCGCGCGGGACGACCTGGGCCTGCACACACCGCGCCAGATGTGTGATGCGCAGACCGCTATCATTGCGCATAGAATCCGTGCCCTGGGCGAGCCCGAGGAGCTCGCCTCACTGTTTGTGACTTTCGCCGACGCACGGCAGTGTAACCGCCCCACTAGACAAGACCGTGACTTGCGCCCGCCAGCTACAAGAACAGTGGTCGGGCGGCGAGGGTTTGCATACCGAGCAGCCTCGCTTTTAAACTCTATGCCTAGTGAAGTGACACGGCTCGAGCCAGCAGCTTTTAAACCGGCAGCGAAACGTTTCTTTTATTTGGAGTGATTGTGCGTGTGTTAGTGTTGTGTGTGCTGTTGTTTCAGCGGATGATTGTTGTGTGCCGTGTCCCATTTGACTTCCCCAACCGTTTTATTCACTGACAATTGACACGTAATAGCCACCGTGTTGTGGAGTGTCTGCTGACGTAAATATATAAATATATAAATATATGTTTCAAAATTTATTAGATTCTATGATTTTCTGGAGGGGCTTGTCTGCTTCAAATGTGAAATGCTTAGGCCCTGGTTCATTATTTTCAGATTGGAACAAAAGTTTCTTAGTTTATACATTAACAATAGTTTTGGTTACCTTTGCTCACTGTGTTGTGATAGGCAGAGGCACCTTTGAAGTTTGAACTGTTCAAAACTGTTCGCTGAGGAATAGGTACCTACCTACTCTAACATCCTACAGGACATTGTTTTAAATGCAAATCAGAATATTTTCTAAAAATGCAAGACTAAAGATACAGGTTCAATTGTTAAAGCCTCAGACAAATAAAGCTGAATCTGTAGAAGTCTGTTCCACATTGAGCTACTTTTAACCTTTAACCACAGTTTATACTGTATATAAATATGATATGCTTTTAACAATCTGAGCAGTATTTATTTCTAGTTTTGCCTGATGCTTGAGGATGCTGGGTGCTTTGCTGTTTTTGGGGTGTACTATCATAAAAAGTTGAATGTCTGACATATTCACCTCAACAGATAGCAGATTATTCCTTATAACAGGGATGAGGGAAATAGGAATTTATAGTCAATGCAATTAGTTGTTGCTATTCGTAGGCATAGGGTCATAGGGTCATAATTCAAATCTAAGTATTTCAGAAGGCATGCATTAATTTTTTGCATGGTTTGTGTCTAATAGTTATCATATGTTAACTGTGCCCTTTTCATACACTTATTTAATAGTCTTTCTTACCAACTGTTTCACATAGTTTAACCCCGCGTTCGATGTCTCTCGGACGACGAAGATTCTACGTCGTCCGGCCAATCGCGTTCAAGGTCAGCGGGGGCTCGGCTGCGGTTGTTGTGATGTTATTTGGTCCCGCTCCACTGTGCGGCTCGGTTCGCCCTGCCTGGTCCCGGCGTCCCGGTCGGCCAGTCACGTGACCGCCCGAGGACTCGGGTCACCGGCCGCGGTGGCCGGCGCGGCGGCGGGGACTTGGACACGGGACGCGGTCACGGACGGACGCGCGCTGCGTCATGCTTTGTTTGGCTTGCATTATCAGTGTAATATAACTTACGAACGCGTGGTGAGTGAGTTTAAGTGAAACCGAAACATGGCGCGGTCGGTAGCCGTATAATTCTTTTTAGTAATTTAACGTAACTGAGCCAAGATGCCGAACGACACTTTGGCACCGGCGGGCGGTGCACTTCAAGTCTCAGCAGCAGGCACTGCCTGGCTGGGAAGGGCGGCACAGCCCGACCGACTCGACCTGTCCACCGAGCGAGGTGACGCGTTCCGGACCTGGAAGGAAAGATGGGAGGACTTCTATCTTCTCGCCGGCATCGGAGCGATGGAGCCCAGGGCACAGATGGCCGCTCTTCGCGCCTGCCTCACCGACGACACGAACCGAGTCGTCCGTAATCTGCCGCTAGAAGAGGACGAACGGCAGGACGTGCACGCTATGATCCGTCAACTGGAGGTCTACGCCATTGGCCAGGTGAATGAGGTCCTAGAAAGGAAGAGGTTCAATAGCAGGGTTCAGGGTGATGGAGAGACTTTTGATGACTTCCTCACGTGTCTCCGTGACTTGTCTCGTTCTTGCAACTTTTGCTCTTCATGTAACGAGTCACTTATCAGGGACCGTATTGTTATTGGACTGAGGTCCGCAGAGACTGTGCAAAAGCTCTGTGCCATACCAAACCTGTCTCTGTCGGCTGCAATATCTCTCTGCAGGTCCCAGGAGGCGGCGCACCGGGACGCCGCCGAGATTCGACGACCAGACGTCGTCGCCCGCATCGGCGACCCCAGCCACGAGGACGACGGCCGAGAACCACAGCCGTCAGCCACTTGCCGAGTGTGTGGACCGCAGAGCGCCCGGGGAGCGCAGCCACCTCGCCCTGAAGCTCAGGGACATCGGACGGCCTTCCCGCCGCAGCGTCCAGCACCGTCAGCGAACGCCGACAGCGTGTGCCGCAACTGCGGCTACCTCCATCGCCGAGCAAACGACTGCCCAGCCCGGGGGCGAGAATGCCGTAACTGCGGTAAAATCGGTCATTTTGCCGCAGTCTGCCGCTCCCGCCCGATGGAGACAGCTCCCGGTCAACATGGTCAGGCTGAACCCCCATGGCCAACCACATCAGCTATCATCGCCTTCACTGCAGCTACTGGAGCGCCTCGTATCCTGGTCGGCATAACAGTCGGACGGCGCTCGGCGAAGGTGAACGCCCTGCCAGACACCGGCGCGGACGTGTCTGTCGGCGGTGAAGACCTCCTGCAACAGCTCGGACTGCAGGCAAATGACATCAGTCAACCGTATCTTCACCCTCGGGCAGCGAACGGCAACACCCTCAGGTCGGTGGGTGTACTCCACGCCGTCATCACGCTCGATGACGCCTCTGCCGAGGAGGAGGTGCACATCCTTCCAGGAGTCAGCGGACTTCTCATGTCCTGGAGTGCAACGAGGCACCTGAGACTGGTACCGGCCGACTACCCCTGCCAAATCTCGGCGATGAGTGGGCCACGTCTGGCCGAAGACGCGACTCGGAGAGGTACCGAGCTCGGTCCTCCTCCGTCTCCCCCGGCTGACGACATCAATTGGACCGGTACCGAGACCGGTCCGCCTCCGAGGGATGCAACGCGACCGCAGACTGCATCGGTGCGTCAGGACGACCCGGATACGCCGGGACAGGACCATCATCCGAAACCAAGTGAGTACAGCGATCTGTCTCAGCTAACTCATGAGTTCGAAAAAGTGTTTGATGGCCATATTCGCACCATGCCAGGTGAGGAATTCACCATTCACCTCCAACAGGACGCACGTCCCTTCTGCGTCACAGCCCCCCGGCGGATCCCACTGTCCCTCAGAGAGCCCCTTAAGGCCGAGCTGGAAAGGCTGGAGAGTGAGGGGGTTATCCGCCGGGTCACTGCCCCAACTGAGTGGTGCGCTCCAATCGTGGTCGCCCCTAAGAAAGGTGGCGCGGGCGTGCGCTTGTGCGTCGACCTGTCCCAACTCAACAAGTACGTGCGTCGTGAGCTGTACCAGTCACCCACTCCAATCGAAGAGGTCGCGTCGATTCATGCTTCAGAGGCCCGCTGGTTCACCGTATTTGACGCACTTAAGGGTTACCACCAGTGCCCACTGGCCAAAGAGAGCCAGCCCTTGACAACATTCATCACGCCCTTCGGCAGGTTCGCGTTCCTACGGGCCCCCTACGGGATAACCTCGATCGCCGAACACTACAATCGCAGGATGGATGAGGCATTTGAAGGGATGACAGGGTTTAGAAAAGTCGTAGACGACGTCATCGTTTTCAGCCGCACCAGAGAGGAGCACATCCAGCATGTGCGGAAGTTCCTGGCCCGCTGCCAGGAGAAAGGCATCTCCCTGAACGCCAGCAAACTCCAGCTGGCACAGCGGACAGTCAAGTTCGCTGGGTTCATCGTGTCAGGGGATGGCTATCGACCAGATCCTGAGCTCGTCAGGGCTCTCTCCGACTTCCCGACGCCCGGCAACCTGACCGAGGTCCGGAGCTTCTTCGGGCTCGTCAACCAGCTGGCGTACTTTGTGGAGAACGTTTCGGAGCATCTTACTCCGCTCCGACCACTCCTGAGCTCGAAAAGAGAGTTTGTGTGGGATGAGATTCACCAGCTAGCATTTGAGTGCACCAAAGCTGCCCTCTCTTCCGTCCCGACGCTGGCCTTCTACGACCCGAAGCTGCCAACTCGCCTGGAGACCGACGCCAGCCGAGTGCGCGGGATTGGGTTTGTCCTGCGCCAGCGTCAGCGGGACGGCACGTGGCGCGTGATCCAGGCCGGATCGCGCTTCTTGAGCGACGCGGAGTCCCGGTATGCTGTGATAGAGTTGGAAGCCTTAAGCGTGGCGTGGGCGACTCGCAAGTGTCACTTGTTTCTGTGTGGATTACCGCTGTTCCAGATACTGACCGATCACCGGCCACTTGTGCCAATCTTGAACAGCAAGACGCTGGACGAGATAGAAAATCCTCGCCTCCAGCGACTCCGGATGAAGATAGGAGAGGCAGGTCCCTTCACAGCAAGTTGGAGAGCAGGAAACGAGCACGGAGCTCCGGATGCCCTCTCGCGAGCGCCTGTACAAGATCCTGTGCCAGGAGACGAAGTTGGCGAAGATGGATCAGTAGCACAGGTGTGTACCGTCATCAACGCCGAGCTCGACGCCACGGACACCGACGTCCGACTAGATGAGGTACGTCGCGCCGCTCAGTACGACCCTGAGTACCAGCTTCTGACACGCACCGTTACAGAAGGGTTCCCATCGGCCAAACACGATTTGCCGGAGCCCATCCGTAAGTACTGGCCCGTACATGACCGGCTGACCATCGATGAGGGTCTGGTTGTGTGTGGATGTCGTCTTGTCATCCCACAGGCGCTAAGAAGGACAGTGTTGACAGCGCTCCATGACGGTCATCTCGGTAAGGAGCGGACGAAGAGCAGGGCCCGCCTTACCGTCTACTGGCCTGGGATGGATGCCGACATCGAGAACGTGACGCGGGGCTGCGAGCGATGCCAGCGGGAGCTTCCGTCTCATCAACGGGAGACCATCGTCCACCACCCGCCCGCAGAGAGACCGTTTCAGCGCCTCGATCTAGATGTCGCCGAGCACGCCGGCCGTAAGTACCTTATCGCTGTTGACGGCTTCTCTGGATGGCGTTTTATCAAGCCGCTAGGGATCAGTGCTCATACTCAGAAGTTGACGTCCGCGATGCGCGAAATCTTCTGTCAAGTTGGCGTGCCAGAAGCGATAATGTCTGATGGAGGGCCCCAGTTCACTTCGGGTGCATTCCGGGTGTTCCTTCAGCAGTGGGGCGTTAAACACCGCATGTCTTCCCCCCACTACCCCCAGTCGAATGGGAGGGCTGAGGCGGCAGTGAAGTCAGCAAAGAAATTGATTCGGTGCTGCTGGGATGATTCCAGGTGCTGCCTCGACGAGGAGAGATGGACCAGAGGCGTGCTCCAGCATCGGAACACACCCGGACCGGGAGGCCGCTCGCCCGCCCAGATCGTCTTCGGTCGGCCAGTCCGAGACGTGCTCCCCGCTCACAGACGCAGCTTCGCTCCGGAGTGGCAACTCACCGCTGAACGAGCCGAGGCAAAGCTGTCTGAGCAACAGCAACGCGCTGATGACATCTACAACAGACAGGCGAGGGATCTGACACCCCTGACTGTCGGAAACCAAGTCGCCATTCAAGATGATCGGTCCAAACGCTGGGACCGGCACGGCGTCGTCTGTGACGTTGGCCCCCATCGGAGGTACTTCGTTCGTCTGAGCAACGGACGGGTGCTGACGCGGAACCGCCGGCACCTACGGCGACGCTACGGACACGCCATGCCGGAGGAACTAACGCAAGAGCTCCCTTCAGGGGCGCCGACGTCCGGTGGCCCTACCGCCGTACCGGCTCCGGAGAACGGTGGTACCTTGCGAAGGTCCACCCGCACCCGGCGTCGGCCTGTGAGGCTGATTGAAGAAATATGAATTGTTCGCACGGCTCGGGGGAAGGGGAGATGTTGTGATGTTATTTGGTCCCGCTCCACTGTGCGGCTCGGTTCGCCCTGCCTGGTCCCGGCGTCCCGGTCGGCCAGTCACGTGACCGCCCGAGGACTCGGGTCACCGGCCGCGGTGGCCGGCGCGGCGGCGGGGACTTGGACACGGGACGCGGTCACGGACGGACGCGCGCTGCGTCATGCTTTGTTTGGCTTGCATTATCAGTGTAATATAACTTACGAACGCGTGGTGAGTGAGTTTAAGTGAAACCGAAACAGCGGTTATGGAACGTGATTGGCCAGATGGCGTAGAATCTTCGCCGTCCGAGAGACATCGAAGGCGGGGAAAGTTTAGGAATAGAGCACAAGAGATTAGTTGGCAAACTCAATTCAATCATACTTTGCTCACAAAATAGTTTTTTTTACAGTGGGCTGCAGAAGAAGAAGGAATAGGTATACAGAATGTATAATGTATATGTATAATGTTATACATATACATACATATACATAATGTTAATTGTTATAAATATATATAAAGAAATGTATAATGTTCAATGCAGTGGTTTGCATGCCAGATGCTCATGAAAAAAAAACTTAGGTAAAGTGCAATCAAAAGGCAAAGTAGGTACAGGTCTCGCCGGTTTTAGCAGTAGGTTTTGCACCTAGAAAATTTAGTGTACTTCAGGCTATATCTTCGTCGTCTTAAGGTTTTAAGTGTTGAAGATGCCATCGACTTGTTGGTTCTCAAGCCGGCCATGATCGTGTAAAATGGCTTCATCGTAGATCGATTAGTATCTGAGATATAACCAGAAATGTAAAAGTGCAAAACCTACCGCTTAATCTCGCTAGAGCCGTACCTTTGAGCATGTGCCTTCATGTTTGTGACAAATATGTACATGTTTTCATGAAATCGAAAAGTCAGATAACTCACCATGGGTAAAGAGGAAGTCATCGTTAAGGAGACTGTTGAAGATGTGACCAAAGAGCTGGCTTCTTTGGTGGAGAAGGAGGCAAATGAAGCTATTCAAAGCCGGGGGAAGTTCATCATTGGTTTGTCTGGTAAGAATGTGCATTAGGTACTTGCTTTTGTAATGTTCATCTTTCTCTAAGCTAATCAAATATGTCTCGAATAGATATTGAAGTTCCTTTGGTTGGTATTCCACCTAACAGTATGTGATAATTATTCCGCAGTTGCCAATGTGTTTATCACACTTACAGGCTGGGCACGACCATCCACTTTTCTTGTTTGTGAGAACCACAATCACAGCTACCTTGTTTCTCCGCCAGGTGGCAGTCTGGTCAATTTTCTGGCAGCCGGACTGCCGACAATCAGTACGGACTGGTCGCTCTGGCACGTGCTATTCTGTGACGAGCGCGTGGTGCCGTTCGACAGCGACGACTCCACGTTCGGCGTGTACCGGCGTCAGCTGAAGAGCAACGGCGGCGCCCTGCCGCTGACAGAGTCCCAGTTCCTCTGCGTCGACCCGGCTCTGGACGCGGACACCGCCGCCGCCGACTACGCCGCCAAGGTGTCGGCGCTGCTGGGGCCGGGCCGCGCGCCGCGCTGCGACCTGCTGCTGCTCGGCATGGGCCCGGACGGCCACACGTGCTCGCTGTTCCCGGGCCACGCGCTGCTGAGCGTCACCGACCGCGCCGTGGCGGCCATCACGGACTCGCCCAAGCCGCCGCCGGCGCGCGTCACGCTGACGCTGCCGGCGGTGAACGCCGCGCGCGCCGCCGTGTTCGCCATGGCCGGCGCCGGCAAGGCGGACATGGTGCGGCGCGTGCTGCGCGACCGCGAGCCGCTGCCGGCCGCGCTGGTACAGCCCACCGACGGCAGGCTGGTCTGGATTCTGGACCAGGCCGCCGCCGCCAAACTCTGAACACTCGGCACACTGAACTCTAAGCGCTAACAGTACGCAGCGTTACCTGTTCACGCTGTTGACGATATGCTTCAATCTGCATAACGTGGACCGTATTGTAATCGCTGCGTCGTGGCTCGTTGTGGTAATGGGGTGCACTGCTGCTTGGTGGGGGCCAACTCAGACACTGAACAAGGCGGATTTAGCCTGTGGTAGTGGAAGGCACGGCGGTGGACTCTGAAGTCATTCGCCGAGTAAATCCTAAGAAACTGTGCACAGTGCACTCGCTTCTCCTTTACTCACTTTGTGACTTTTTGGAGTATTTTACGTATAGTTCATGGTGATATTAGTCAGAGGAAAGGATTTTTATCGTTGTTGATAGTTATATCATATATGTTATATATGCTGTCGAATCTGGGTGAGAATGGTTACTGCCAGTACTGCATTCATACTGCTATTTGCGATTCGGCTGCATGCAAGGGCAAGAAAACATTCCTATTTCGCACGTTCGTGTTACGAGTTCCCCATGACACTCATGTAACGATTGTGCCTTTTCCTCTCCATTTTAGTGTCGTATGCTCGGATGACCTAAGTCGCTTTGCTACAACTTTGTATATCAACAATCAGATGAAATACAACGACCAAATACATTTTATGTTTATAATGTATTACGTGATTATGACGACAAAACAATCATTGTTAGTTTACAAAAATAAAGCAGCCACAAGAACCACAGAGCGAGGGCTGTCACCCTGCACTAAAAGCGGAGGCACCAGACTACCCTCTCTACCCGCGAGACCCTTGCATTACGGTGCTGTTGATTCTCTGCGTTCCTCCCATGGCGAGTGGATCACACGTCTAACCCTGTGTCGCGTCAGCGAACGATGCAGCAAGCATAGGGGCCCGAGCGGCGGGCACATTCACACAGGAGCGCACTCGCGGCGTAGTGTCCCGCGAGACGTGGGCTGGGCGCGGAGACGGCACACCCTCCCCTCCCGGACTCGGCGACGCGAACAGGACGGAGCGAACGGTGCCCTGGGGCCGGACAGTCGGGCAGCAGGACTGGCCCCAGTGGCTTGTCATCTAGAGGGAGCGTGCCAGTCGGCACTCGGCACTGTAGAAACGCTACGCGTGCAGTCTAGACCCGTCCTGGAGAGTGAACACTTGCGAAGACTGGCGGCGGCTCCGACAGACCGTCCGACGCTGACCGTCACGAGTCTCTGCCGACAGGAAACTGAGTCAATGAGTCGAACGGAGCGAGGCATTTTCCCTGGTGTAATACGCCATTAGAGCCTAGTTAATTAGGAGGCTTCAGGGTAATCAATAATACAATGAATGGGTCAATGAACTTAATGGACGAACTTCACAAGCATGCCTGGGGTCGGGCTAATGAATTAAATCCACAATAATGCAATGCTTCTACCTCGCACATCATTAATATTCAGCGTACCGCCATAAACGAGCATACTAACGAAATTGAACCCCTACCTTCCCGAAGTATAAAAATGGGGCACACCATTTGTCACAATCAACTGCTGTGCTTAAACTACTCCGCAGTTCGGACACATCCATTTTCATCACCCCAATGCGAGCATCCCGGCAGACTCCAGCGACTAGCGAGTCCTTCCACTCCTTTAGCGTTGACGCGCCGAGGCACTCAGGAACTCCACTCACATGTGTGTGGTGTGTGCGATGGACGCCGGGCACGCTAGCGGATGGAGCGTCGGCTGCCGAACAGGTTCAAAAGGCTCCAGTCGCTGCTCTGCGAGTCGTCAGCTCCGCCGTCCACCTGCGGTAGCCACAGAAAGCAAACGAGCTGAATACATTGAAAGGAATGCATTTGGCGGGCGCGGAAATGAACAGGCTGCGGGCTACATGTGAGGTAATGTAGGGCTTTTCTGGGTGGCATATCACTTCCATGCAAGGCACTAGGCAGGTGCGCATAGTGATACAATGTGGCCATTTACAAACTGGCTGTCCCCAGACAAGCTATTTCCCCGGACGGATGCTACTTAAATTTTGTTACACATGAAAAGCCCCAACGGATGTCGGTGGATGTCTACCGTTGCAAGAGAGCTAAAACTCTGGTCTGATGATCGAAAACATTGCGAAAGCAGCAGTCTGGAGCTCTCCCAGCCAGTCCGTATGAGTTTTATCCGGCAGGTTTTGCCTGCTGATGTGTTTACACCATCATTGCTGGGTATAGCTTTTTACTGAAAAGTGCATGTATTCGAAGCTGCCAAACAATTAGTCTTGATAACATTGATTGCCTCCGTGCACTTTATGCTGGTTATCAATCAGTCGGACAGCAGTAATTGCACTAGAAGATTGATGGTCTGCTATACCTATCTTGCAAAGTCGAACCCAAAAGGCTGTTGAACGAACTGGTTAGTTGCGGGTGGGGAGACAAGTGATATGGTGTGCTATTAGACAGTAACGCTTTGAATGTTGCGACAAATTCACCAGCTGAAAGTCCGATAGTTGTACGCGGAGTTCGTTAGTGGACACTGTAATGGTCGTTACGAGTCGGCACCCACCTGTCCGGGCGACAGTTGCGTGGACCGGCGGGTGGTGTAGCTGGCCGACCGGCTGTCCCGGTGGGAGATGCGCTTCGCCAGCTCCTGCGGGCCAGGGAGACACGTCAGATAGGCCGCAAGCTGCAGTGACGATTGCAGGAGCAGCGGAAGCCACATTGGGTACGGAGTCACGGACATTATTTGGCAACTCCGGTGCCTACTCGTACGCTTTTTACTTAAGAGTACTTTATTTTTACGTTTGTCATTGCGCGGAAAATGAGACATTCCACGTATAAGTATCCAAATGAAGAGAGAAAAGCTTTATCTGTATAAACAAGCAAACGCAAGTGCACTGACGGTGTCACCGTACCAGGGGAAACCGTCCATGGCACTGACATTCGCCTCCTCCACTCTCACCTGTCCCTCCATGTCGTAGAGCGTGGTGGACATCTTGTTGCCGACGAACCAGGTCTGTCCCTTCATGACGAGGCTGTGCGGAGGGTCGTGGACGGCGTTGTCGTCGACGCCGTGCGCCTCCGACGCCCAGACGGTGGTGTCCTCTCCGGGCCCGAGCTTGATGGCCCGGTGGAACTTGTAGTCTGTCTCGTTCCCGTCCGCCCTGCGCACCAGCTGCATCCCGCCCAGGGACACCTGGCAAGGGGTGGAAAGGGTGGTCAAACGTGCTCGTTCTTGGGATGTCAGAAGCGCAATGTGTTTATCGAAGACAGGTTACAGTTAAACACTAGTCTTTACAGGTCTACGCACTGAGCCTCGTATCGTGATCTCTATACTGTAAAGCTTCTCCCTCCCCATCGGTCAAGAACGTCTCACCTCCTTGTTGGACTTGTTGTGCAGCTTGACGTACTTCCCGT